TTGGAGAATGGGGATTGTGTGTGTGTATACACACATGTGTATGAGAGTGAAAAACTTCCTCATAAAAAAAAAAGGTTTTCTAATAGAGGAGCAAATTTTCAAGAGAATCTTTAATTTCTCAAAACAAGCACCAAAATTGTCACACATATTCCTTAGGGATTGCTCTTTTAATAAAATCTGTTAGCCACCCGAAAATTCAAGATGGCCACCATTGAATATACAGAAATATTGCATTTCACAATAAAATCACCAAAGACTTGTCCTATTTGAATGATTCATTTTTCACTAAGTAGAATCCAAATTTGGAACCAAAGTCTTACTCACTGGCTTTCTTGTACCAACAGAGTAGATGCGAATACACAAACAGGGCATACTGGATGGGACCACTGCTGTGAAACTCAGCATGGGGTTCAGCATAAGCTGAATAATTATTTAATGTACCTAAATAATTAGTTTAGTGTCCCAAATGCTGTCTAATAAGCCCCACATCTACTGTAGATTACATGTAGTTTAACAGATATTTAGTTAGCCGCGCATGAACTGACAGGGTGTGTCAGCACAGAAGAGCCAAGCCAGGGGTAAAGGGGCTTTACATTGCTTGGCATGTAGTTACCTGGATGGTGTACAGATTGCATGAGACAAATGATACTGGATGAATGACTGGACTAGGTGTAGGTCATATCTTTATTCCCGAACCTAGTCATATCCTATACTTTACTGTGCATGATTGTGATCAAGGTGGAAAAAGTATAACTCCAGGACAGTGATTGGACAGGAGCCCTTGTGGAGGCAAGGATAGCATCTCCTGGGAAAGTAGATTTGTTTCTGACAGTATCGAACCTCACTAGGACATGACAAATGCACCAGATAACAGCATACAGTCTATACAAGCTTCTGAAAGCAGCCCACACATACTACTCGAAAGAGACAAATGAACAAGAAGAAGAGGTACCTAGCTTCAAAGGTTGGTGTGAGCATCACAAACTGCAAAGTTCCTAGTTTCATTTCTGGTGTATGGTGCTGCCAATGGAACTGATGATCCAATCATTCAGGGAAGTCAACTTCTTCCTGTACTGTCAGTCATTGGCTGAGTTGATACGATACTTCTTTGCCAACAACAATGTAAACTATGCACAGTGGCTTCTGATGCACTACAGAGACATGGTGACCCTGGAACAGAAGCATCCTCAGCTGACTCAGGAGTTCCAGAGTGGCAACTTTGCTGTACACAAATTGAGCCGACAATTCTCAGCAGTGGTTATTGACCAAGTTCACATTCAAGCCAATGCTGTCATCAAGGCAAGCAGGGTTGCAATCAGCATGATTGAAGACCTATCAGCACTGGGAAGATAGGCGATAGTTGGTCCTGAAATCAGCCACTTGGTTGCACAGAATGAGGCAGCATGTGGGACCAAAGAGGGTACTGAACACACCAGCCACCATGAGAAGTCATAACAGACACAAAGTGTGTTCCTTGAGAAAGTAGAAACGTTCTCATAAGCCATGCAAGATATGAGCAATCCTTACCAGGAGTCAGGACCTGCTTTTGGTTGATGCAAAGGATATATTGTTCACCAAACTGCCACTGAGCTGATTGGTACACAGCTTGAGAAAGGCAAGGTCCATTTCCAGGAGTTTATGAAAGGACTTGAAGAGGAAGAAGAATCCACCTTCTATGAACCAATCAAGAAAAACAGTATTGACTTTTTCCAACAGATACTAGTATGTCTGTTCTTAAAATTAAAAATTGCTGCAGGCAGAGTGTCAGCTACCCTCCAAACTGTTCATATCGTGCCAGAGCAGAGAGTGTGACTTGAAGAGTTCTTCCATCATAAAAACTAGTCACATCCTGCTGCCCTCAGTGATGGTGGAAAGCTCCACACCTTCAGAAATCCCACCTCACCAGCATTCTTGAGAGCCAAATTACAACCCCTGAGATAGAGCAAGACTCCAACACCATCATCATTGATGGTGCAGCATTGGTGAACAGTCTGCACCCATGGAGTTCAAAGACATTTGAAGAGTATGCAATGCTCAATGTCCTTTCTACAATACAAGCATACTCTACCAAATACAAGAGAACAGACATTGTGTTTGATGTCTACTGGCCATCTAGTGTGAAAGCTGAAACAAGATCAAAGCAAGGACGTTGGATGAGATGCAGGGTGACAAGGGAGGGCAAAATTCCTGAGAGAAAATAACAAGAAAGCCTAGCTGTTCAACTTTCTGGCTGGTAAGATTGCACGTGTGGCCACACAAAATGTGGTCATTGTGATCAAGGAAGAAGATGCTGCACTATCAATCTGGCTTAGCTAGCACCATGCAGTCATGAAGAAGCTGATCTTTGTGCATGCCAGGCATGCAACAATACCAGGCAGCACCAAAAACCAGTAACACAGATGTCATTTCAGTCAGTGTTCAGAGCTAGGTCTGCAGTAATTGTGGGTTGCCTTTGGCCAAGGACAGTACTTGAGTTGGGTTCCTGTACATGACTTATGTTGCACTCTTGCAGAGAAGAGCAAAGGGATGCTCTTCTTCCATGCCTTCACTGGCTGCGATTGTCATTTCAGCATTCCGTGGCAAAGAGAAGAGGTCCACTTGGCAAATCTGGAATGTTTGTGATGTGGCTTCCAGTGTCTTCAGTAAACTCAGCCAGTACCCACTGGTAGTGGATGATAAAAACCTGGATGCCTTGGAGAATTTCATGGTCATGATCTGTGACAGATCCAGCACAACTGAAGTTGTTGATGATTGAAGGTTGGAAAGGCTTACTCAGAAGCAGAGGCCATACAAAACCATTCCTCCAAACCAAGCAGCACTAAAGCAGCATGCTTCACATGCTACCTACCAGGCAGGCTGCATCTGGAGTCAATCAACAATACATCAACCAGAAACTCTTGCCAACTAGGGCTGGATCAAGAAAGGAGAGTTGTGGCAGAGCATTTAGACAGAGCTTCTACCCATTGCAGAAAGTTGCCAGCAGCTGACCAAGTGTGAATGCAAGTTGGAATGCAGCAATCAATGCAAATGCATTGGGGTGACCTGCACAGCACTGTGCAGATGTGAGGTTTAGAAATGTTATAGTATACTCATCCAGGCAGCAAAACAACATATGGCAAACAACTATAGGCCTACATCCAATAATATATCGAACTGATGGTGACAATGATATGAGCACTTTTTACCCTAATTATGATTCTAGGACTGATATTATGGTACAAGGAAGCTAGTGAGAAGTTCCAAATTCAAATTCTTCATAGAGAAAAATGTATGATTTGACAGCAAGATCATTCAAATAGGATAAGTCTTTGCGATTTTATTGTGAAATGCAATATTTCTGTATATTCAATGGCGTCCATCTTGAAAAATGGCCGCCATCATGAATTTTTAGGTGGCTAACAGATTTTATTAAAAAAGCAATCCCCAAGGAGTATGTGAGCCAATTTTGGTTCTTGTTTTCAGAAATGAAAGACAGTTATCTGCTCCACTATAATGTTTTAAACTAAAGAAACTTCAATGAAAAATATAACTGAAATATCCCCCCAGAAATGTGCACATTTTCAGTAGTTCACAAGAAAACAAAATACACAAGATGCAAGCTTCATTTCTATCACTAATGAAAAAAGGTTTGAAATTACTGTTGTATAATGTTGTTCTATGACACATGATCACTAGTCAATTTTTTCTCCCATCTCTCTTTACACTTTATTCCTCTTATGACGAACATATGCAAATAGGATTTCATCTATTTGCCAATATTACTACATTCAGATTTAAAGGGTTTCTGCATTAACAGATACTCCTTTCTCCTGTATTAGTATTTACTAATTTACTATATCTGAAGTTCTGTTGATTGTCTAGGCTTAAACACTGACCATAGGTGCCAGTTAGAAGTATCCAACTAAATCATCCTGAGCTTTCACTCAATGTCTTTGAGATATGTACCCTAGGGATTGCTCCCTGGAGTTTATAATAAATAAATAAAAATAAAGTAAAATGAAATTACTGCATAGCTAGAAGCTGAAATGTGTATGCACCAGTCATTGCTGTAATTCTACAGACATAAGAATCTCTGTGCAAACTAAGTCTGATTTTTTATAGTACCAAAAGCCTTACCTTATCCTCTTCTCCCAGGTGTTATCATTCAAGTTTAGTTCTAGTCCAAGATATTTTAGGTTTGACCTGTTTTTATTCTTGAAACACAAGCAAGCATAACTGATTAGCTGTTCATGATTGGCCAATTTTTGATATCTAAGTCCTTGGCAATGTGCATAGATTTTCTAATTGGTGCAGATAGTTAAATTAGTGAGGCTGTCTTTAATGTAGAAAGGTTTTTCAGGAAGGTAAAACCAATTTTCTTATAACTTCTTGTAACATGTCTTTCCAACATATTCCTCATATAGTGTACTGAAAAGTTCTTTGATTGTTCAAAGACATTGAGTGAAAGCTCAGGATGATTTAGTTGGATACTTCTAACTGGCACCTATGGTCAGTGTTTAAGCCTAGTTTTTCCTCCACAAAAGATCCCATCTGGTCATTTTGTAAAACTTCCAGTAGCGGGTCAAGTTAATAACTTTTCAGTATTCCCTTGTATAACGCAAATCTGAATTGTAGTATTGAAAGTTTATGCTACAAAATAAAACATACCTGATTGCAAATTAATTTTGCAGCTTGGAAATTGGCTTGTCCTTGAACAGATTTTAAGAAATGTATTTTTTGTTGAGGTATCTTCAATGCTAGATATGATAATCTGAAAATGTGATACTTTTAAATTTAGTAAACAAATTAGAAGTGCCTTCTGCTAGTAAGATGTAACATTTCATTTGCACAAAGGTTTTTAAAAAGCTGTTTCCATGTCTGCAAAATTACAGCAATAAACACAGCTCCCAGTAACTCCTTGTGTCTCCGTGGCTTTACTATCTTACACGGGGTGAACTCGATAAAAAAAAGTATATATATATTCAGTTGTATAGATATGAGTTTGTGACCCTGGGTTTTACACTTTTGTGATCATCAGACAAAGTGTTTTTTTTTTTTTTTGTTTTTTTGGGGTGTTTTTCGAAGGGAGAGGTAGAAGGGGAGATGGAGTGAGGGAGGGAGGTAGGTAGAAAGAGGGAAGGAGTTAGAGGGGGAGGGAGGGAGGGGAGAAAGAGGGCAGAGGGGGGGGAGGGAGGGAGAGCAGAGAGAGGGCGGGAGGTAGAGAGAGGCAGAGGAGAGGGAAGTAGAGAGAGGGCAGAGGGAGGGAAGTAGAGAGAGGGCAGAGGGAGGGAAGTAGAGAGAGGGCAGAGGGAGGGAAGTAGAGAGAGGGCAGAGGGAGGGAAGTAGAGAGAGGGCAGATGGAGGGAAGTAGAGAGAGACTGTCCAGTCATTTTTGATGCACGAGGGCTCAACAGTATGTTCCCATCCTTTATACCTACTTGTGTTTGTGCCTTTGATGGCTTAATGCCAGCTTGGGGGTCCACCCAATAGTTTATATATAGGGCAAGGAAAAGAACCCTGTGTGTATGAGGTGAGTATATATAAATTTACCCTCTGTATTTCCTGTTTATAAGAACTCTTCTCGGTTGTCTCCTTGTTTTAGTTAGTGAATGTTGTCATAATCCTTGCTTTCAATTCCTCTTTGGTGTTACAAGGAGTTTTGTTGCTCTCTCACTCAACAGCGCCCCCATATACTTAATAATCAAGGGAGTTGCAGTCTGGGAAGTTAGGTGCCATATGTAAGGGGTCATGTGGTTGCAGAAATTGTCTGACAGCCATGACCGGGTTCTGCAGCTTGTGGTGGCATGGTGCAGAGTTTTGTTGCCAGACATAGGGTCTTCCAGTAGTCACCCCCCTTGAGCCAGACTTGATGTAGGCTTTTGCATTGAGTGAGGCTCTGTGGGAAGATGAATGGAGGCATAATATTGCCATCATTAGTGATCACTCCAAACACCATAATGTTGACTGGATATATCATCCAACTCTTTCTGAATCCTCTGCACTATCCTCAGATTGACACCCATATGCTCTGAAATGTTGATCAGGGATCTTCCAGCAGTACAGCATGCTGTTTCCAAATTTCTGGTGGAGTGAATTGTGTCATGGTGCTCTTTTTCTCATAGATGGTGCCTAACTGACCCGACTATACTGTACAATTGACAAAATCAAAAACATGCATGCACAAAATTAAAAATATAGAATAGTGACAATTTACTCATCGCACCCTGTATAGATATTACAAATGGATAACAGTAGTGATATAAGGTACAAACCGACAGTGCTAAGTATATATATATATATATATATATATATATATGTCAACAGGCTGTTTCATGCTAGATGCAATCGTGGCCTGACGATTGCATCTAGCATGAAACAGCCTGTCAACTCTAAGTGTTGACTTCAATGTTCACTTTTATTTTTACACAAGTTCTATCTCAGCACACCTTAAGAGTATATATGTATTTAAATAAAAAGAAAGAACAATAAGATATATAATCCGATGTTCTTATAGATATTTTTATTTTTACAAAATAGTGCTCAATGTAAATTTACAGAGCATTAATATTATAAATACACACACACACCCTTAAATCAAGTGTGTGTGTGTATATATATATATATATATATATATATATATATACACACACACTTAGCATTGCAGGTTTAACTGCAACAGTAGGATAAAGATTTGATACTTCCTCTCACAAATCAGAAGGAAATATGCTTAATCATTTAACCAAATTGTAGATGCTAAACAACCTTAGATTGAGTTCATTTTTATAGATTTCTTTTAAGTCAACTGTTGATTTCCAAATAAGAATGACTGCAAAAGTTTTCCCTCCTCCCTCTCTTATAGTCAGAAGGACACAGAATACATGCTGGGATATTTTTCTTAGCCAATAAAATGGGACAGCTTGTATTTTTGACATGACTCCATCCAGATCTGCCTTAACTAGTAGAATGACATACTGTGTTCGCTTGGTCGACCTTGCTTTTGTGTACAGATACCAGATCCTAGTTTGTGAATTCTTGTGCCTTCTTATCAATTTTGATTTGCTTTAACGATATTGTTTGCTTGCTTGCATGATTTTTGCTGTTTCATCCTTTGACTGTTTTTCTTTTCATTGCAAACATTTTTTAAATTCTAATCGTGTTATTCATCTTGCACTTTAACAATGGCTTCTAACCCATCACAAACAGTACCTCCATTCATATATTATATATAGCCCTACTTTGTCAGCAATACCTGGATTAATTTCTGAACACTAAATACTTTTTTTTTAAAATTTCCAATGTACAATATATGTACTGGAACTTTTTTTTTTTTTTAAAGTAGAAAATTTAGTGTTTAAACAAATGTTTTACATTATTGCTACAAATTACTATAGCTAAGAGAGTGGTAGAGTTGTGATAAAATCAGTTGGCTGTAATTTAGAAAAAAAAAATTGAAATTATGCATAGAGTTTGCACATTAATAAAAAGATGAGTTATTGTTTTATTCATCTTCACATCCCCCACCATCAAATGAATTTGCCGTGTCATTAATCATCAGAAGGAATAAAAAAAAAAAAAAACTGATTACATGTCTGAGCGTACACATTTTTTCTCTCGTGTGTATGTGTGTCAAACTAAATATGATATAATGATTAAAAATCTTGATCATTTTTTTTGGGGGGGGGCGTTAATCAGTAAAGTTTACCCTGTACTAGGCCCAGGAGCTACTCGAGGTAGGGGCTACAAAGTAAGGGGCACAGTTTATGTGGATAGGTGAGGAGGATAATTATTAATCCTAGACTTGAACAGGGTAGATTGTAGTGATCAGGGAACACATCCTCTTGGGAGTTGGTTCCACTGAGCAATGGTTGGTGGGAAGAAGCCACTTGAATAGAACTTACTTCTCACCAATGGAATACAGAGGAAATGAGAGTGGTTCAATACAATGTGTGTAAGATGGCGGGTCCTAGCCATGAAGAATAGAACTGGTAGAACAAAGGAGTGTAGTTCATCTGAGCACTTTCCAAGGAAGTATCAATAGAGAGGCTTGCTACATCATACTTATTATAAAACCCAGGTTTTGTGTGTGTGTGTGTGTGTGTGTGTGTGTGCGTTTATATATTGGATCGGATTTCCTACATTTTTCAACTGATTTCAACAAAACTTCACAGGACTACGTAAAATTACCTTGCAGTGGTTCTGACAGTGCCAAAAATTGGAAAAACAATTGTTTTTTCACGAAATCAATTTGAAAACACAATTAAGTCACCAGAATGAAAGAGGGACAACTCATATCGAGTTATACTTATAAAACCCTGTGTGCGTGTGTTCCTTTATATATGGGATTGGATTTCCTACATTTTTCAACCGATTTCAACAAAACTTCACTTTTTTTTTTGGCAGGTAGTGTTTCTTATTGTCTTGCACACTTTTCTTTATTTTTACATTCAGATTGCTTTAAAAATTACATTTACAAGACAATTGTTTATAATAAAATTCATTTCAATCGGTAGACTCATAACAATTGAAAACAATGTTTGTGTTTGAGTTTGACCAATTTGGAAAAAAAAAAAAACTAATTAAGACATGCGCGTCCGTCAACCTTAAACAATAATCTTTGTCAATTTTATTTTTCAGTCTTTATGATGGTTGATACTTGATCTATCTCTTACTGTTACATCCCCCGGGCAACGCCAGGCTCTACTGCTAGTCTTATCTGTGAGAGAGAGGTTGCAAGGTGGAAAATAATTCATAACCCACAAGGACACAGAGCTACTTTTGGACCATAGAGACTGGAAAATGAGGACTGGGCAACTCCTGCCAAAATATGACAGCAGTACTCCATTTTAGGACTGATCTGGCTCTTGCAGAGTCATATACTTGCTGGATCAGTACAGGGAACCAATCATTTTTCCTGGATCTTTAGCAATGTATCATATATACAAGTTCCACTTGAGGTCCGGGTTGAGTTTGAGGCCCAATAGTCACTCTAGATGTGGTGTACACCGAGATCCAGTGCTTGTTCAAGTATAATTCATCATATAACATGTCAAATACATAAAAGTATAAGCATCAATCCACAGCTTAAGAAAAAAAATATAGGAAAATAAAAGGAAGAAAAGATAAATAGAAAAAAGCTAAAATAATTTTGTCCCACTCAGAAGGGATCCTATTGAAAATAACCCACCGCTGTCATTATTTGATATCCACCTCCATGATAGAATTATTCAATTTCTTGAGGAGGAGGTACTCAACATTGTTAATAGATATAATGATAATTTTCTTAGACATGCAAGCAATAATGCTTTCATTACTGTTGCTAATTAATAAATTAATAGCCTGAAATGTATATAAGGATATGTTGTTACTTTTAATTACTTACTTGAAGAGATTATGTAGTGCCATTTTAAAGATTACACAATTTTATGTTGTTATCCATTTAAAAGAAAAAAATAAACTTAAGATTTACAAAGCTTAACAGTCTGGTACAAGATTACAAGCATAGAGCATCTACAAACATCAATGTGACTCTACTAATGATCTGCCAAAATAGTTTACTCAAGTTATTTTCTAAATTTAGGGACATTTAAAAATATATGGAACCCACTACACAAGAAATTTAGTCTATGAGACAAGTTTTACAATTGTAGATAATCTTTTATGTATCCTTTCCACCATAATTCAAAATTTTATTTCTATTGACAACATTGTCTAATGCAAAAGATGTAATGTAGAATTCCAGCAAAAAGTTTAAATTTGCCAATCTGTGGACCCTAAAGAAAAATCTAGTCCAGAACCTAATTTATAAAAAAATATGTTATAAATTCTCATAGTTCTGTGAATAAATCAATTCAAAATTCATATACAATATTTAAGTACCCCCAAAATTTGCTAAAATAATATATATATGAGAAAGAAAAAAATGCTCAAAACAAAAACTTTTATCTTCAAAACCTTTATTTTGTTATTAAGATAAAAGATCAATGGATGTCTTATGAAAAAAATCTTTTTTCATCATTTTTGGAACCTAGGAAATTTTATTTTAGTTAAAAATCTTGTTTTTCTAAAATCAATGTGGGACCATAAATTTGTCTGGGAAATTTGATTGTCTTTTTGCTATGAAAACTTCGATTTGAGAATCTTTTCAAAAATCAGATAATTGTCGGATTTTAATGTAACTTTCAAAAATTTCTATATATGCTAGATTTTTTTTTAACAAACAAAAAAAATTATGCTGTGTTTACAGATTTGTCAATAGATTTTAAAGATTTTACTGATAATCAGAAAAAAATCATTCCAATCAGTTTAAATTTAGTTTGATATACAGCAAACTATTTGGCTTATTGGAAATGTTCAATTTAATCTATTAGCTTGGAATTAAAACTAAAAAAAA